ACTCTCAGTTCAACCCTCATCAAGATTAAAATCGTTTGCAATGCTTTTTCATTATTTTAATAAAATATATTTAACCCCAAAAGCATCTGGATAGTCATTCCCATCATTCTCCATTAGTGTAATGCTGCACATATTAAACAAACACATGAGTGTTAACACTTAATTACTGCATAATGTCCTAAAAACTGGGGGTGTCATGCAAAGCAATCGCACATCGCTCCATGTTTTAATTATGGATGCACGAGCGATCATCCACCTTTTTAATGTTATCGTTATCGGCTTAATAAAAACTGTGTCTGATATATTAAAGCTGATGAATACTGTATGACATCCTCCAGCTGAGACTGATCAACATGATGATCTCGAGTCAGTTCACTATAATGAGGACGTGATTATTAATCGTGTGTTTGGGACTCGGCTTTTAACGGTGCTTTCGCTTTTGGAATCAGGCTCTCAAAAACGATATCAAATATGGATTCAGATTTATCGGCTGATATATCGGTTATCGGCTTTCAGATATAAAGAATTTTGGGTTATCGGCGCATCCTTAGTTTTTATAATGTGATTTTTTGTCCACTTTGAAGAGCGATGTGAGCCTAAAGCTGGAAGAAGAGCTCTGAGTCCTGAGATGAGCCATCATCTGAAGCGTCTGAATCAGCCCAGTCCTCCATGAGTGTGTGTGTCACTGCAGCTGCTCACACACACTCGTCCCCTGCAGAGCCTGTGGCTGACCGCACTGAACGCCTGCAGACGAGTGATGCTGATGAAGGTGATGATGAAGATGATGAGGTCCTCCGGGTGTGGGTCGTGTGATGATGATGATGGTGATGATGAAGAGATTTAAATAAAGACAAGAGGTGTATGGAGGAGAACACACACACACACACACACACACTCATGACATTTTCCCGATCTGGATTTTCTTCCAGGCTTCGGAGGCTGTGAATATGCAGGAGTCGATGATCCCGGCCACTGTGAACGTCCCACCGATGATTGCGCAAATCTGAACACACACACACACACACACACACACACACACACACACACACACACACACACACACACACACCATATTAATCAGAGAGAGAGAGAGTCTCCTCTCGGTGTATTTGACTGTGATTGGACTGTGTGTGTGTGTGTGTGTGTGACTCACAGTAGTGATGAAGCGGTAGAGCGGTTGTCTCCTCTCGGTGTATTTGACTGTGATGGACTCAGGTGTGTGTGTGTGTGTGTGTGTGTGTGACTCACAGTAGTGATGAAGCGGTAGAGCGGTTGTCTCCTCTCGGTGTATTTGACTGTGATTGGACTCAGGTCGTAGCGGAACCAGATGGCCGGGATGATGCGGCCCGTATGGCTGTACGCCACATACTCCTAGAACAGAGAAGAAGAGTTCAGATGTGCTCAGTGATCAACTCTGTGTGACACACACACACACACACACACACACAATAATGGAGAAGTATCTTCAGTTCACACTGAATTCAAGTTTCACTTCAACCTTAAAGTGCTCAGTACATCATCATGACCTTCCTGTTATTTTCCTGTCAAAGTTCACGTTCTCCTGTGTGTGTGTGAGTGTGTGAGAGTGTTTGTCTTCAGTGCGTCATTCAAAATGGACTTTTATAAGGTGTTTGAACACAGATGTGTGTGTGTGTGTGTGTGTGTGTGTGTATAATGGTAAAATCCACCCACTCCATTTTTTATAATGCCCATAAATCATAAACAGTCTCTATAAACCAGTAGTTCCTGATTATCCCACTACTCCTGCATAAGCTGTGTGAGATTCTCCAGTTTTGTTGTTGTATCTGAAGCACGAGCTCTACAGGCCACGCCCCCTTTCCAGAAGAGTTGAACAATTAATTTGCATTTAAAGGGACACACACAAAAACAGCGTTTTTTTTGCTCTCACACTAAATGGGGCAAATTTAACAAGTGATAATAAATGATCTGGTGTTTTGAGCTACAACTATGGCCTCATTACTCAGCACACACACAACACACACACAGGCTTTGGCCTAAAGCGACCCAATAGAGAGCCTAAGTCCCTCCGCTTCCGGTCGACCACCATGGGACCTTATTCCGGAAAAATATTGAATGGTAGTCAATGGCGAGAGACAACAAATATTTTGATCTGGTTTGAGTTGTGCCCTTGATGTTTGTCAATTTAAAAGATACATTTTAAAGTAAAGAAAGTCGCAGTTTGATGTAAAACCGTTGAGGTATAAGACTGTGAAAATACGTATTTACAAAGACTACAAACCCCAAAGGCACACATTTTCTCCCAATGAATGAAGCTAACTTTACTGAGGCTAACGTCTGTCATTGTTCCTACAGTCATGCGTTATAATCGTAACGTTACGAGTGTTTTGTACCAGACACGAGCAGCGGATCTCACTCGTTGTTTCGCTTCCTGGGAGATGTAGTTCACAGAGCGATTTACACATAAAACTAAATGTTACTCTTCTGTTTTATGACAAACTGCGACGTTTTTGACTTTCAGAATTATCTTTTAAATTGACAAACATCATATGTGTAATTGAGGGCACAGTTCGGGCGGAATTAAAAGATAAGTTGTCTCTCGCCATTGACTACCATTCGTATTTTTCCTGAAATAAGGTCCCGTGAGCCGGAAGCGGAGGGGCGGGATTTAGGCTCTCGATTGAAGAGAGCGATGCGAGCATGGCTGAAAATCACTCTATAAACATCTATAATCACACAAGTATCAAACCTGAGAAACCTCGGGACAGTTTCTCGATACGGTCACACCACATGACCTCATGTTAACACACATCTCTGCACTCCCGAACACACACACACACACACGATGCCGCCAGCTTCACTGCACACGTCCTGCAAGCGTCTCATTAAAGAGAGCCATAATTCATCCAGCGTCGATGGAAACCACAGGCATCAGCACAGCGCGCTCATATATTTAGACTTCACATGTGTGTGTGTGTGTGTGTCAGATTACCTTGTTTGCCACGGTGTACTGGTAGGAGAACCTCTGCTTGCCTCCCAGGTCCTCGTACACCGTAGGGACGATCTTGAGAATGTAATCGTGAGACGCTAAAGCTGGAGACACACAAACACATGGCTTTATTTCAGTCTCACACACACGACCAGTCGAAAGTTTGGGATCGGGAAGATAATAATGAATGTTTCTAGATCATCAGATCCTCATATTAGAGCAGTGGTGGAATGTAGCGAAGTACAAATACTTTGTTACTTTACTTAAGTACATTTTTCACGTATCTTTACTTTACTTAAGTAGAATAAATAGTGCATACTTTTTACTTTTACTTCGTTACATTTTGCAGCAATTATTCTACTTTCTACTCCACTACATTTCTACAACTTCTGTTACATTTTCGTTACATTTTCTGATCAGTTTTTCCCCGGCCAAAACGTAATCTGACCGTCCGTTCGTTGCACGTTTGTCTCACCAGTGACGTTTGGTTGCCATAGATACATCAACTAAATGCGTCTCGTACGCAGTGTGTTTATCGTGCAATTTATACGCGAAAATTAGTTTTTATGTGCATAGGAAACACGCCGTGTGTAATATACGTTTGGTTAGGATTATGGCAAGCCAAGAGGTTCAGAATTACACCATAAATGAATCGCGTTTACTGCCAAACATACTTATTAACATATAGTAAGGATAAGCATGTTTATATTGCCTAATTGCAAGCTTGTTTCAGAAATGGTGACATTTTTTTTCCATCATTATTGAACATCATTATAGGAGTATTAGGTTGAATGAGTTAGAATTAATTGTTTTATTAATCATTAGAAAATAGACATTAAGATAATAAATTGTTATGCAAGTACTTTTACTTTTAATACTTAAAGTACATTTAAAATCAGGTACTTTTTACTTTTTACTTAAGTATGGTTGTCATTGTGTTACTTCTACTTTTACTAAAGTAAATATTTATCTGGATATTTGTACTTTTACTTAAGTACTGAGATTCAGTACTTCCTCCACCACTGTATTAGAGTGATTTCTGAAGGATCATGTGACACTGAAGACTGGAGTAATGATGCTTTGATCACAGGAATAAATTACACTTTAGTATATTCACATAGAAAACAGATGATTTACATTAGAATAATATTGTTGTATTTTTAATCAAGAAGAGCAGAAGAGCCTTCTGTAAGAGGCATGGACCCAAGCGTTAGGATGGTGGTGTGTCAGATCCGCAGGGAAACACTGTCTCTGGTGTAACGTCAGACAGGATGTGTTCATCCGCTCCTCTCTACTATTTCTGTGCTGTTTTGTAACATCATCTGTGTGTCTTGTGTTGAGCGCTCTCAGTTACGGACGGTCCGGCAACAGCGCTGTGCTTTGGCTCATTCTTACGGGTTTGAGCAAACTCTGAACTTTTCTTTTGGCATGGAAACATTCACACTGCGGGCATGAATGACGCCTTAAATCAAAAGTATGGCAATGGAGACTCTTTGGGTTATCTGGGGCCAAATATTTGGTACACTGTTAAAGGGGTGGCTGATTATGATTTCACTTTTCTAGCTTTAGTTAGTGTGTAATGTTGCGGTTTGAACATAAACAACATCTGCAAACTTCCAACACATTTAAAGCAAAGCTTTTACAGAAATCGCTTTTTAAAGGAGTAGTTCACTTTTAAAAATACTTTTTCTGGTAATTTCCTCGCCCCCATGTCATCTAAGATGTCCATGTGTTTCTTTCTTCAGTGGAAAAGAAATGAAGGTTTTTGATGAAAACATTCCAGGATTTTCTCCATATAATGGACTTCAATGGGGACCAAACGGTTCAAGTTTCAGTGCAAACTGTTCAAAGGACTTTAAACGACTCCAGACGATGAATAAGGGTCTTATCAAGCGAAACGATCGCTCATTTAATAAATAAATAACAAAGTTTAAGTTTTATAAGTTCAAATGCTCGCCTTGCTCTATTTAGTTATAATTAAGTATTTAGTTTCTATTAGAAACTCCTTTCTATTTAGTTATAATTATTAACACACACACACGTCAAAGCAACTTTACTCTATTAACGGATATGACGAGACGCACACGCAAAAGTGACATATGTACACAATTTCCCCGTAAAAACAATCTAAAATATGAACACTTATAATTGGCTTCCCATAGACTAGACATATTTAAATTTTAATAGTTTTAAAGAAATTTGTTTTTGTTTTTTACATAGTGTACCTTTAACTAATGGACCCTATCATAAAGTGTAACCATGATTGTGAATACTTCAAGTATTTTTCTTTTCAAGAGTTTATGCCTTTTTTTATTATATAAGCGCAGCCTGACATTTTTTACTTTTTTAAGCGTTCATCATAGAAGAGGTTTAATCAAGTCATTGTGCATTCCTTGAAGTGCATTTTCAATGTATTTTTAAACAAACAAAAAAAAAAAGATAAAACAAAAGTGACTGTGTCACGTCATTGACCCAGACTATATATATAAGGCTAAAGACATACCATTGGACTGCAGTCTGTTGGCTCCGCCTAACGCATTAAAAGCCCCATGGACATGCTGCACCTGCAATGCAACGACATCACAATGACTTATTCATGTTGATTTTACACCGTCCTTTATGTCTGACTGACGGAGGACGGCGGGCTGACCTGCAGCTTCTCCCCGAAGGCCAGTTTGTGTATGACGTGGGTCATGTCCGGGCTCTGGGGCTGAGCGGTGGCGCTGTGGGTCGACACGTGGAAGTTTCCTGGGACCTGAGGAACAACAACACTTATCATTATAGTCACACAATTCACGGTTCGGATCATTCACACTTCTTGATATATATATATATATATATATGTAATTTTATTTATAATTTTATTTTATTTAACAAAGTTATCCCCACCACCTGTGTGTGTGTGTATATATAAATATATATATATATATATATATATATATATATACACACACACACACGGGTGGTGGGGTTAACTTTGTTTTTCACTTATTACTTAAAGCTCACTTGACGTTCTTCGATACTGCATCAAAAACTAAAGCCTTACTGATAAAGTTCAAACATTAACCCTCTGGGCTTCTTCAGGTCAATAATGACCCGAAGCGTTTAAATAAAAAAATGTTAAAAATCGTAGCATCATCGGAATGGTCCGAAACTTGGTGACTTTAATGGTACTTGGTATTTGAAAACCCCCCAAAAATTGGGGACAGGATTTGAAAAGTCTAAGTGGTCGTAAAAAAAATAGTCACACTCAGGACCTTCGGGTCAAAAATGACCCGAATGGGAAATTGGCAAAAATGTGAAAATACTGAGTTTTTTTGTGCGTACAATCTACAAATCAGCCACGATCTTGAAAAAAAAGCACACAACAGTGAAGGGGTGAATCTATAAAACATCAAGAGTGCAAAACAGACACATCCACACACACACACACAAACACACTTTTTTATGCACAAACACACCAAAAAATTCAGATTATACATGCGTTTTGCATTTTTAAAAAGCTCAGTTTGTCCACAAAATGGATCCATCTCATTTCAAAAATTGCTTTTATGAGGCCTAGGCTTGACTCCAAAATGAAATACAGCTTTAAAAAAATATATATAATTTTTTTTTTTTTTTAATATTTTTTTCTATTATATTCAATGGGGGAAAATTTGGTCATAATTATTGCATTAATACTAATTATAATTTTTTTTTTTTTTTTTTGAAATTTTCTCAAAACACCAAAAGAGAAAAGAAAAAATATAATAAAAAACAAGTTAAAAAAAATTTATGATTTTCTTTTTTAAATATGAATCCCGCCCTCCGGGTCAATTTTGACCCGAAGGCCCCGAGTGTGACTGTTAAACGAAGAACCCCAGAGGGTTAATAAAAACAAGTGAACAGTCAGTAATCGAATAAGAACAAATAAACAAAACTAAACTAAATTACACATTTAAAAAGTCTAACAGTAGTATTCAGGAACATAAATTAATAATTAAGCCTAAGCATGTAAAATAACACTTTGTTCGCTGTATAAATTAAAGATAGTTTCATCTTTGTTAAAGCTGTATTATGTTGTTTTATCAACATTTATGACACTGACGACAGTAGGAATATTAGGCCGCTGTCACTTTAAGACCGAATAAACTGACAAAGATCCGGTTTCTTTCTCAACTGTTCAATTCTGACAAAACCGAGAGAACGCTTGCAGAGACGGGTGTTTAGACGGGTATAGTGACATACTTTCGTGTTTGTGTGTCCGTTCAAGGGCAAGGAAACACGAAAGAGGAATCTCTCTCTGTGTGTTCGCCTCTTCAGCACTTAAAATAGTTTGAATGTGTACATTGGGAGGACAAAACACGTCCAAATGATAAACTTTCACCATATGATGGGTAAATTGAGCCGTTAATCCCTGAATCACGCGCGTGCCAAACCACGGGGCAACTGGTCCATACGGGTCCAGTTATCAAACAGCCAACACATCAGATACAATCTCCATTAGAGAGAAAGCCAAAATGGCTTCAATCTACAAGGACGCCAGTGAAACCTCATCCGGCTCCTAGTGTTACGATGAGCAGATCCACAGGAAACATTCAACACCCGACAAGTGACGTCAGGCTTACCTTATTAATACTGAACTCTCCTTCAAAGCGGCATCCGTGGCCGTTGTTGAGGGGCATCTTCATCGAGTTCTCTATGTGACCCACTTCATGCCGGCCCATCTCGTCCTGGATGTCCAAACCCACCACTGCAAACACAGCCAGACAGAAGCAGACGATCTTCATTTACATTGTACAAAAGGAGAGTTTCTTCAACAACATTACTGATGAAGAGGATGTACAGTCAAACCAAAATGTATTCACACACCTTCAACATTTCTCATATATCCGCTATAGTTTATAAATATGAGCAGAACTCAGTGGATATTTGACTGGTTTTGTCCTTCTGTTGGACTCTCACACATGAATTATGTTGAATATCTGTCAGCACAATTAGATAATACCAGTTTAGCTCAACCAGTGACCAAGCAATGCTTCATGTTGTTCAGTGTGTGTGTGTAAAAAGAGCAGAAAACACACTTCAGCAAAACATCATCAGCTCAAAGAAGTCATTTTTGCTCCCAAATTTGAGTTTATGGGGATAATATGTCACCATTTACTTCATTCTGCTCTCCTCACTTACATAAGATAACTATAGTGTCCTGATCACACTAGAAAACAAAACCTGGTGTCTGAATAATGTGTGGTTTGACTGTATATTGGTCCCAAAGAAGCACTGGGGCACTTAAGACATTAAAAATTATTACATTTATATTAGGGCTGTGCAAAAGTTAATTGTGATTAATCGCATCCAAAATAAAAGTCTGTGTTTACATAATATATTTGTGTGTGCTGTATATAATTATTTTGTATATATAAATACCTATGCATGCATGTATATATTTAAGAATTATTTGCGCTTAAATTCTGTATATATTTATAAATACATAATCCATATTATATAAATATAAATATTTCATATATGAATAACACATTTTCTTAAATATATACATGCATGTGTGTGTAATTTATATATACAAAATAATTATATACAGCACACACAAATATATTATGTAAACACAGACTTTTATTTTGGATGCGATTAATCGCAATTAATTTTTGCACAGCCCTACATTTATTACATCGGTTTAAATATCGAACACTGCTTTGGTGATTTTTTTTTTTACTTTGAGATTTTCTCTTGTAATAACATTCAGACATTTTAAAGTTTGACTCAAGTGTCCAAATACTTTCAGGATGTTAATTAGAAGGAAAAGTGCATCTAAAACAATTGCTGGTAGACGTGAAAATGTTGTAATCTGCATAAAGTTGGAAACACAGTGCACTCAACAAGTGTGTGTTTAAGGTCGAGGCGAGTTTGAACGACATTTGAGAGTTACGGCAGATTTTCAGTGATTGAATAGGAGATGTTCCTCCAAGTGTTTGGCTTTAGAAGACCTGTAATGAGCCATTAGGACTACTTCTGGGACATCTTTATGGCCTTGTTTACTCCTGGCATTGAGATCGATCGGACCACAAGTGGACGACTCTAAACACAGGAGTAAACGGGCCTGAAACGCTTTGAGCTCGTCCACTTTCACCACTTCCAGAGCTGAAGAAGACACACGGCTTTCAGTGTAAACACTCATGTGGTCGAATGGGTTCAAACAGTCTTTTTGGCCTAGCAAACTTTGTCGTTTTTTTTCACATGCTTTTGCAACAGGACAAGCGTTTTGTTAGGTTTTGACGTTTTGTTGCTTCACACCACCAGCGACAAAGCGACATGATCCCATTCATTTCAATGGAGCGCTCGCGACTTCCGGCTGACACGAGCGACACTGACTGTTGGCGACAGAATGTGGGCGTGTGAAGCGACAAGAGACAAAAGTTGAGAAATTTCAACTTTATGCAAATGAGAAGCGATTTTCGCAAAAGACAACCAATAGGAAAGAAGACTTTCAGTGGAGCTCAAGCGTCACCGTCTCGAGGGCAGGCAAGACAGAAAGAGTTCGAGGACGATTTCACTGTTCTATATGATTTGACTGTAACCACATACATGGATAATAAAAAGATGACCTCTCAGTAAGTTTAATTCATACATTTAACGTTATAGTCCGAGTGTTGTAATCTTATGATGCACGTTTAGCACTGCTGCAGTTCATTTTACAATTTCCCCTGCATTACGTTGACTATTAGGCACAAGAAAATTGATTATTTGTCAAATTCGAATGACGTTTTTATAATTTGTGACAGTATGAGTGAGTTTAATTTGTTCATTGGTCGATCGTTGATCTAGTAAATGATTTAATCCACTGAACACAGCTGTGGTAATATAAAAACACTCTCCCAACAGCATACGGTTTCTTTTTACTCTTTAAAAAGTTGCCAAATGCTTCCATTGACAAGACCAAAGTGATCTGTGTGTTTTGTCCTTATGAACAGAGCGATAACTGAACTCAGCTCGTCCAGTCTGAAACACCAGCTGATAGCCAAGCGCACACGCACACACACACACAGATGATGCGAATTATCCGCCCCCTCGTCAATATCAGGACCCCGTCAGTATTTCTTTCACCCTTTTATTGATGGACAGTGTTACATTGTGTGAGAGATTATTTGCTCCAAGTGAGAATGTTATGCCAGTATATGCCAAAGTTGTTTTCAATAAAAAACATTTGCACAAAGCAAGCCGATCCAGTTTTCCATGTTGATAAGAGCGTTTAAATGAGAAAAAATAATGGGACAAAAAGAAATCAAGAGACATTTAGAATAGATAAACATGTGCGATTAATCGTGAGTTAACTAAGACATTAATGCGATTAATCGCGAGTTAACTAAGACATTAATGCGATTAATCGCGAGTTAACTGTGACATTAATGCGATTAATCGCGAGTTAGCTGTGACATTAACGCGATTAATCGCGAGTTAACTGTGACACTAATGTGATTAATCGCGAGTTAACTGTGACATTAATGCGATTAATCGTGAGTTAACTATGGCATTAATGCGATTAATCGTGAGTTAACTATGACATTAATGCGATTAATCGCGAGTTAACTATGACATTAATGCAAATAATCGTGAGTTAACTAATACATTAATGTGATTAATCGGGAGTCAACTGTGACATTAATGTGATTAATCGTGAGTTAACTGCGACATTAATGTGATTAATCGCGAGTTAACTGTGACATTAATGCGATTAATCGCGAGTTAACTATGACATTAATGCGATTAATCGCGAGTTAACTATGACATTAATGCGATTAATCGCGAGTTAACTGTGACATTAATGCGATTAATCGTGAGTTAACTATAACATTAATGCGATTAATCGTGAGTTAACTGTGACATTAATGTGATTAATCGCGAGTTAACTATGACATTAATGCGATTAATCGCGAGTTAACTATGACATTAATGCGATTAATCGCGAGTTAACTGTGACATTAATGCGATTAATCGCGAGTTAACTAAGACATTAATGCGATTAATCGCGAGTTAACTGTGACATTAATGCGATTAATCGTGAGTTAACTGTGACATTAATGTGATTAATCGCGAGTTAACTCTGACATTAATGCGATTAATCTCGAGTTAACTGATATTAATGCGATTAATCACGAGTTAACTAAGACATTAATGCGATTAATCGCGACTTAACTATGTTATTAATGCAATTAATCTTTTCAAATATTAATTATTTGTTTCTGTGTGTGTTCAATCACTATATGTAAAGTTTCCAGCCCCATAAATCATTAAATTCATAATTAAATAAATCATTGTTTCCCTTGGCTTGTGGTGGCTTGGAATTTCAATGGGAATCGGATACGAGTTTAAAAGTGGGTCAGATGTCCAGATATTCGATGTTAGTATCTGATTTAAAGCCACAGGTACAGCACATGTCAGTCGCGAGACTACAGCTTTTTAAAACCCATATCAGTTGCAAAACAAGCTAATGCGGGAACATTATGGGGAGAGCGCTCGCCAGACGGGGTTTACACTTTATCGGCTGAAGACACCAGTTTGGTTTGAAGATCAAAAACATACCAATCACAATGCTCTCTCCCCATTCCTCATCTCTGACACGCACTCGCTGGTCTTGAGCAGGAATTAAAGATGCTAATCTCCGTGTGTTTTTCCGTCGTCTTATTTTGTCCATTAGATTTAAAGATCTGAGAAACCCATATATTCATAGACCCTTGAGGAAATCAGGGCAGAAGTGGTTAAAAGTGGACAAAAGAGACGGATTAAAACCCCAGGTGTGAACGGAAATGAGTCTCCCTCGTCTACTTGTGATCCGATCCACCAAAACAGAGTTTTTTAGTATCTTGACAGTAATTGGCCAAGTTATTTTTTGGGTGAACTATCCCGAACAAGTTCACGTTGCAGCAGAAACCGTTACGCACGACTGTTTATCCGACCTTTCAGATGCGTATACTAAGAGCATGTTGTCCCATTAGCCCAATGCTATTTTAAGCCTTCCTAAGAAAGCAACACAGGCTCTTTCCTCTTATGATGACAGGAGAGATTACGATCATGATCTCAAAAAGTGCCAAAAATTAAAGGCCAGCCAGAAACTGAATGGAAGAATGATTCCAGTTAACGTTTTCCAGGGAGTTTGACAATTTCCAATACGGATTAGACATAAACCACGACATCTACGGCTCGGACTCAATCCAGTAAACTACAACCACACGATCTCCGCTCGTTCAGGGGTAAATGTGCGAATGGAAACATTTAACTGCCCTTCTGACGTGTGCCCAGAATACTTCAGGTCTTGCTTGGTTTTCTCAGCAAGCGCAGAAAGAAAAAGCATCCACATTTTCCACATAAACACACGAGTGTTGAACAGTGACGTGGTAAAGGAGGGAACGATGTGTGTGTCTACAGAAATACAGTAATACAGCCCCATGTAGTTTTACTGAAAACATCCTCATGAAATGTATCATTAATTATCATTTACTATGGAATTAATTTGAATGTCGGATTAATTTATACAATATTATTCCTCTCATAATCAGACGTTTCATGTAGAAGACAATAAAGTGAGAATTTCACACTAAATAACCACCAGAACACCTTAGCAACCGCTCAAAACAAGCGTTAGTGGGTACATTCCCTAGCAACCAGCCTCCTCTCATGGGAAATCCCCTGCAGAAAAGGTAAAGCTCGATATCTGAGTAATGAGGTCATTATTGGGATCGCAGCGAGGCTCGTCTTCATGACTCATAATAAGGGTTTCAGGCGTTCGCTCCATTTAAAAGAAAAACGTCTTCCATAATAGGCAAAACCTCTATTTCTCGCCCATGAGAACGGCATAGTTTGGCCTGTGTGTAATGTGTGTGAAACAGCCGGTTGCAACTGTGTTTCCAAAAGTTTGAGGATCTGCCCACAGTGACATCAGAGGCGACCACAACGTCCAGAAACACGATCCTTAAGGCACTTTACGAACTCATTTCAACTTTGAGATATTTATTTTGAACAAAAAAACAGCAAGGTGCATTGGTTAGGCTTATACCACTGGATTGCAAAGCATTCGTCCTTCATTTCACTACATTATAAATAGAACGAGGCACTGTTTCTATTTTTTTTTTATTTTATTAAAGGAGTAGTTCACTTTTAAAAAAGCTTTTGCTGATAATTTACTCACCCCCATGTCATCCAAGATGTCCATGTCTTTCTTTCTTCAGTCGAAAAGAAATTAAGGTTTTTGATGAAAACATTCCAGGATTTTCTCCATATAATGGACTTCAATGGGGACCAAACGGTTCAAGGTCCAAAAGACAGTTTCAGTGCAAACTGTTCAAAGGGCTTTAAACGACTCCAGACGATGAATAAGGGTCTTATCAAGCGAAACGATCGCTCATTTAATAAATAAATAACAAAGTTTAAGTTTTATAAGCTCAAATGCTCGCCTTGCTCTGTTCTGTGATGCGCGTTCGTGACTCTCCTGTTCATCAAAATAAACGAATCTTTTTTCGAGTCATGACTCGAAGGGTCCTCGATAAGACCCTTATTCATCGTCTGGAGTCGTTTAAAGCCCTTTGAACAGTTTGCACTGAAACTTTTGGACCTTGAACCGTTTGGTCCCCATTGAAGTCCATTATATGGAGAAAATCCTGGAATGTTTTCGTTGGAGATACAGCTAAAAAATATTTTTTCCCCAGCCATGTGTCATCTCTAAATATGTATGTAATTGCTGAGATTGCAATTATTTTGACAAAATGGCCACGTTCAAAACATTAAACAAAAATGTGATGCTAAAAGCATCTTTAATATTACCGCACTTTCCACTAAATCAACAAGTAAGAATATTTAACAATTTTTAGTGCAGTGTACACGTCTAAAATAATTATTTTTTAAGTCATTTGATTCCCCAGCCCTAATCCACATAACTAGTGACTATTCATTACGTCACAATAGGAAAAAGGTTATGTGACTGAATGAATCATTTACAAAAAACATGATGTATCGAATAATGTTTGGCAAATCCTTTGGCAAATATAGCGTTTCCTCATCGTATGACTTCTTGTCGAGTTTCAAAACAGCGCGTCTGATTGAGGCGAAAGGCGTATCCCAATCCGACTGTGAGAAACACGAGCAATGCATGTACACAACACTCAAACCGAGACTCGTGTGGGCGGCCATTGTGCGTCGCTTCCTACGTCACATCCAGACAACATGTCATGATACACACATGTGGACATGCAAACATCATTCACAAGAGTATTTATGTGTGTTATGTATATACTCACAATCACAGTGTAAGTTTGGCAAACTGATGTTTAAACTCACTTCTATCTTCCCCCCACTGTCCTTATCAGGGTCATCCACATACAGTTCATTTACTCTGGAAAACACACAGGCATCACATGTACTTCTGATGAGCGTTTGTGAAGGTCATCATCTGATAACATTAAATATCTCAGCTTGACAGTAAAATGCCAAAATGACATTAACTGCAGTTTTGGTTGCCTCACTTCCCCCGGTGAACACATAACCAAAGAGTTGACAAACACACACCAAAGCCATCAGTCTAACTGAGGTCAAACGTGGGTCAGAAAGTCAGTGTGAACGCAGATTAAAAAGACTTAAACATTTTTACTAATTAAAACTATAAATATCCTGACCCGTTCTTGAGGTTGAACCATTTAAATAAACAAGACACTTTTTCCATGTCATAAAACGCTCAAAACATCCTATTTTTAAGAGTGATGATCTCAGTGACATCATTTCCTGTTTTATGACTTTCCATTGACATTGATTTGGGGTGGAAAACGTTTTCAAATATTAATATTTTGCTAACTCTTTACAATAAGGTTCATTAATTACCTACTTTAGTTAGAATGAACAATACTTCTTCAGCATTTGTTAATCTTTATTAATGTTAATTTCAACATTTACTAAGACTTATTAAAATCTTGTTAACGTTAGTTAACTAACATGAACAAACAATGAACAGCTGGATTTGTAACTAACGTTAACAAACATTAACAAAAACAGTGACAGTTTTTTTGCTCATGGTTAGTTAATGTTAGTTAATACATGAACTGATGTTTAATAAATGAACCTTATTGTAAAGTGTTCCCAATATTTCTAAGCTGAACTGAACTTCCCTGCTTATTTTAAACCATAATAACACAACTTTTGCTCAATGACTAACAAGCAGAGACTAAAGTAGAAATAACACACCACCTTATTTTCAACATTAGAGCGGACGCGGCCATTTGTAACCTTAAGTCTCGGGTCTCATTCACTTCCATTCATTTTTAGCTGAACAAAAACGGTTCGTTATGCTGCTGGATATTACAAAATGGTATTTTTAATTTTATTATTTTCATTTATTATCAGAAACAATTGTTTGTAGCACAAATGTAGCTAATGGATCTTAAAGTTTTTAATTTTGTTTATGTGTGTGTGTGTGTGTGTTGTTTTTAATCCGCTTTAACACACACCATGTGTAAGTTGATGAGTGGACAGCATTGCTGAGTATTTCCTGCAGTGAACCAAAGACAGTCTCTAAAACACGCTGGTGTTTCTGACGTCACAAACCACCTTGTAACCAATCAGATCAACAAGTGATCGTCAACCAGTGGATCTCTGAGTGAGTGGGGGAGGGGCTCATTTGCATATTCATAGAACCGTGAATACTAAATGAGGCAAGGGTGTCGAGTTACATTTTTAAGGCTGGAAGAACCTTTTTTCCAAGTATGAAAATGTTTAAATATGTCATTTTTGTGATAAAAGATGAGTTTTAAGGGATAAAATGATTGACTACAGGGGGATTCGCACATTCACAAATAATACATCACTTCCAACTTAAGTGAAATAAGGTGGATATGGTTGTGAGACTTTGTTATTTTTTGATTGTACTAAAGCATAAAAATGATACAAGAAGGCATTTCATTCGTTTCATTCGGCTGGACGGATGTCAAACTGATGTCATCAGAGACCGAAGGACATTCCTGATGGGTTTTGATTAAAGATTAACTGAATTAACTTGGATCGATGAATTGTTCACTAATTTTGATTTTACAAGAGCCAATCTTCTTCTGTGATAACATCTGCGAGTCTTGCTCTTACATCAGCTGTATTCCAGTTAACACACTAACAATGTACTGTAAAACATACTGGACGTTTTTGAAAGTTATACATTAAACTGACCGAAAAGTTAAAGTTTTTTAAAAGAAAAGTCTAAATATGTTGAAATATTTTCAGAAAATCCCATTTTAATACGTTTTTTATATATATATACACCAGTACAACATAAAAATTGTGTGTATGTACACAATAAGTCCACTGTATTAAATGTTGTTATTACATAAGGGTTAAAGACACTTGATCTAAAGTGGGACGGGCTTTATAAAAGTAGCCAAATGTATGACACCAGACCTTTTTCTGTTCATTATAATCTCAGGAGGACAAGCGTTCATACATACATTTCTGTAGCGATGAATCCTGTCAGCTCAGAGAGAAAGAGGAACAACATGAAGACGCAGCAGCATATTGAAACTGAGGGGATTAGAAAAGGTACAAAAAACACATTAGTGAGTTATTTTCAGCACTTTTTTCCACCCAAAAGTAACTTTTTCAGTGTGTTTGCTGACATCAACCCATTAGCAGTGACATCATCCCATTAGCAGTGACATCATTTCTATAAATGATGTCTGACTATGCAAAATGAGCGTATGTGAAAGTCAACAGGCCGTTGCATAAGGCGCATTAGCGTCCGTGGCTTTATTGCTGTGGTTAACGTAATCGTTACTAAGTTCAACGTGTGACCAGATGAGTCAAAGATGAAGAAGCGAGAGCATATTTACATGGAGACATGTCATGTGACTCTGTGGCTGACACGTCATCCTGAGACTCCGGTTCATTCCAGTTGACACAAGCTAATGTTTAGCTAAAACACAAACAATAAGGCGTGTCGCTATGACACATTCGCTCACGGACTCAGGTTCATCATGGGTTATATCACTCGTTCCACTTTAACGAGGATAATACTGGGAAAGATGTATAAACACAACGCATGTCAATGATTGATGTTTACTGCAGTTATATTAACTACACCACAAAGCTTTGAAGACTACAGATGACGTCATATTAGGGTTGATTAAATCACGTTGATTTGAGTTTATTGACCGTTATTAACTTTAAACACACTGTTGATTAAATCCAATTGATTTTTCTTTCCCGTTTTAGTTTTGTTAGCTATTATGCAAAGCTTTAAAAGTTTGAACGGATGACTTTAGCGAACCAAAAATCCACATCTGTTTACCTTTTAATGCCCAGATATCCTATTCACATGCAGGACCGGTTTAGCAACTAAATATTTAGGTTGCGTTCAGGGTTGGTCTCGGCAAACAAGACTAAACATGAAGTCATTCCCCCGAGGCCACAACAACAAAGGACAGGGCCAAAGTAATGAGTGTGTGTGAGTGTGTATCATATCATCGTGAGTCAAACGGCAACACCTAACCGTACAAACATCCATCCTTACGAAAATGAGGGAACAATGAGGCATATATGCAGGACAATAGTTAGGAAACTAGAAACTGAGTCAGCAAATAGCTTTGGGAAAACACAACTGAGGATCAAAGCTGAGAGAGAGACAGAGACAGAGAGAGAGAGAGAGAGAGAGAGAGAGGGATGGATGGATGGATGGATGGATGGATGGATGGATGGATGGATGGATGGATGGATGGATGGATGGATGGATGGATGGATGGATGGATGGATGGATGGATGGATGGATGGATGGATGGATGGATGGATGGATGGATGGATGGATGGATGGATGGATGGATGGATGGATGGATAGATAGATAGATAGATAGATAGATAGATAGATAGATAGATAGATAGATAGATAGATAGATAGATAGAAAGATACAGTAGACAAATAGACAGACAGACAGATATATCTATCTATCTAATATATATATATATATATATATATATATATGGGAGCAGCAGATGAGCCGCCGGCTGTAACGCAGTGGCAGATGAAGCGTGTGATTGGTTGACAGGATGATGAGGGTGTATGATGTGAGATGGGCATTATAAACACCCGCACTCACTGAACGCTCCGGTGTACGTGGGCTGGGTCAGATCTTTAGGCACTTTCCTGTAGATGTCGAACCTGGACGAAAGAGAGGAAGAGGGGAAGAAAAGAAAGGTAAACACTGAGTTCTCCTGTGCATGTGTGTGTGTGTGTATGAGAGCATATTGTGTTCCAGGCGCATTACAGAGCAGTGGAGGAATGTGAAGTATGGGCTGTAGTCTCAGACGCAACATTCTGGCACAACCCCCACCACCATCACCACCCTGGAGTTACAAATCAACCCCACCCACGGGCCTCACACACACACACATCACGGAGACCACGGCCCAGGTCAGGGGAGCAAACAACGGACATTTCACACACTCAGAAAAGACCCTCCAGGCTAAGCTATGCATCTTTAAAACAACATTCATTCACTTGCAGTCTGCTGTTTTGGTCGCTGGCTTGTTCCAAAGTTGTATAAATATAACAAGAACAACTAAAAGTCAAATAAAGTTGGTCAGAACTCTGGATGAATTTGGGCATGTTTGAAGTTTAAAGCAGTTTTAGCTTTTTAAGTTAAGGCAATACAGTCTTTTAGAAAAACAAGCCATGAATTAGCAAATTGCTAACGTGTTTTAGCCAGTACATGGCAGAATAAACTAAACATTATAGCTGTAAGCAGCAATTATCGGGGCCAAGTGCAAAAAAAAAAAGTCGAGAAACGTTCGAGACACGATATAGACATTTATATCTGTGAGAACATTAAAAAAAAAAATTAATTTGCATTTTTTGCCATTTATCAAAATGTTGACATTTGGCCATTAGTAGCCTATATAGCCAACTACCTATGTTTCCAATTTTCCTATGGTGGTTTCATCTCGATCAGACTAACATTTTCGGTGTTCGCAAACAATGTTTAAGCACTATATCACAAAATTGCACAAACCATAAGGCGAAACCTACTGTTTGATATCGTAGGACTCGGCAAGGATTCAGGAATGTAAAGAGATGACTCCCGTGAAAATACGTCAGCTAAATCCAAAGTTATAAGCATGTGAATATTTGATTTTGGTTCGAAACTTCTCAGGCTCATTCAATGACCCATAACGAGTTTCGTAACGATACGCTAATGCGTTCATTAAATACAGCAATTTACTTCAAAATTAAAAATGGCTGACGCCCAAAATGGCCGAGATGGGAAAATTGGATATCATTCGACTCGGCATGCCGCTCCGAAACTAACGAAACCATTACGATTTTTGGACAAAATGTTCAGAAGTTATATGCAAAAATATCCAATTGTGTTTCTCCGGACCAGTAGGTGGCACTGTGCCGAAACGCTGCATGTACCCTCAGGTTGACATGTACCAAGTTACCAAATTTATACTTCTGCGTAGGGTGCATGCAGTAGGTACGGCGTAGCATACACACAGGCGCGTACCATACCGCGTACCCTTCGCCGTAGCCTGATGCGCACCTCATCGAAAATGTAACTACACGCTGTGAAGACGCGGACCACAAGATCTGTGATTGGTCGGCTTGGTAGCATCGCATTTCCTCCACGCATTTCCGCACGTACCATCTCCTCCGACGTCTTCTCTCGTTTCTGCCTTTTAGTTTTAGTAATTTCACTAAAATTCACTAACTGTTTCCACCTCAATAAGCTCCAACTCCAACATGATCCGCTCTCTTTCATTCACCATTGCTTGTAGTAACCAGAGAATGTCTAATTGAAGAGAATTGGCACTGGCTGGTTACTTCCGGGTTCTGGACTGGCTGCAGTAACGCGTCTCTGTCCATGCGGGGGCGCTCGCGGTCGAGTGCAGAATGAATGGGAGTCAATGGGGTTTCACCCCCAGAAATCCACTTTTCTCAGGATGTAATTTTTTGAAACTTGCATTCAAAAGCGAGGGCTAAGATAATACACTCAGCTGAAAATTGCATTTTTAAGTTCACTTATCTGTTCTAAAAATCCGTTCAAAAATGTGATGACGTCACACAATAGCAGAATGCTAGCGTGCTCCAGCCAACAACGGCCTAACCTGTAAGAAATCAAACGGACATAAGTACTCGTTCATTCGACTTTTGGCCTATAATCTATATTGAACTTGCGGAATCAACAATAAAATCTATGTTGATTTAACGACAAGCAGGTGAAAGAAACACATCTAGCCGTTTAGCCCCATAGACTCCCATTCATTCTGCTCTCGCCCGTGATCACCCCCAGTGGAATTCTAATGGAACTGCAACCAAGATGATACACAACGGGGCTAATAGGAAGTGCCAAGGCTCTCCGTTAGACGGGCTCTGTAGTAATCTAGCCGCGAGGAATCTAAACACAGTGGAACATTAAAACCCTCTGCCGCCAACTAGTGTTTCGGAGCAGTACTGCAGGGCAACCGAGACCTGAACGCAGAAGTATAAATGCTCACGACGGCGTCGCCTACATGCGTAGCCTACGCCGGACCCTCGACGCAGAAGTATAAATTGGCCTTAAAGCGTTGTGGACGTTACAATGGGTTAGTTGCTAGGCTTTGCTAATGACGGACAGACGGATATAGATATTTTTTGTGAAATATGACTAATATGAGTGTGAAAATATAGTTCTTTTGATTTACCCAGAAAAATGAATCAAAATATGATATTTGTAATCCTATTAAATAAGGAACACATTCACTGCACAGCATGATTTTATTAAATGAACCGAGGGTTGATTCTTTTCTGTTGAGACGAAGCACACAGTCGGCGCGTTACACAATAACCCCCTTCAGGAATGTGTTCAATCCCTGACTTTTTAAGGAGCTCACAAACAAAGCCAAACTCTCCAGCTCAAAGTGTCTTGTGCCCTTTTTGGGCTCTGAAACCTTCACGGCTACATCAGCGTCGGCTCCAACCCTCCAAAACACTTACATCTGTGAACATTTCTGTGAGCGTTTCTCGCAGTGAAACGGCCCATGTTGACGCAATGCGGGGAGGGGGAGACTTCCTCTACACACACACACATACGGTTCACAGTGTTCAGAGAGAAGAGTTCACAGGATGTAGAAGGCAACTAACCCTATTGTGTGAAACCCAGAAGGACACACTGTTCTTAACCTGCACTGACGTCTTCATTTAAAGTGCGGTGAAAGACCTGCATTGGTACAGGAGGCTGAGGAATAAACACAGGCCCCAAAGTTAAGATTTCCTCACCCAAATACCACACAAGTGACAAGCCATATCACTACATCATTCAGATCAGCCTAACAACAACATCTCCCACCATCTAAGGAAAAGCATCATTATCAATCTCATTATCATGAATGATTATCAATTCTTAATCTTGACCATTTTATGGCTGATTCATATTTGTACTCATTTGTAAGTTTTCAAACAGTCTTAAAGGTGCAGTGTGTAATATTTAGGAGGATCAAAATCACAGTGGTGTATAAAGACCTTGCATAATGAACCGTTATGTTGACATTTGGCCATTTGTAGCCTATATAGCCAACTACCTATGTTTCCAATTTTCCTATGGTGGTTTCATCTCGATCAGACTAACATTTTCGGTGTTCGCAAACAATGTTTAAGCACTATATCACAAAATTGCACAAACCATAAGGCGAAACCTACTGTTTGATATCGTAGGACTCGGCAAGGATTCAGGAATGTAAAGAGATGACTCAGTCAGCTAAATCCAAAGTTATAAGCATGTGAATATTTGATTTTGGTTCGAAACTTCTCAGGCTCATTCAATGACCCATATCGAGTTTCGTAACGATACGCTAATGCGTTCATCATTAAATACAGAAATTTACTTCAAAATTAAAAATGGCTGACGCCCAAAATGGCCGAGATGGGAAAATTGGATTAGTTATAACCAAAAATATCCAATTGTGTTTCTCCGGACCAGTAGGTGGCACTGTGCCGAAACACTGCATGTACCCTCAGGTCATGCATATGTTGACATGTGCCAAGTTTGGTCTGAATACGCTAATGCGTTCATAAAATACAGCATTTTACAACAAAATTCAAAATGGCTGACGCCCAAAATGGCCGAGATGGGAAAATTGGATATCATTCGACTCGGCATGCCGCTCCGAAACTAACGAAACCATTATGATTTTTGGACAAAATGTTCAGTGTGCAGTGTGTAATATTTAGGAGGATCAATATCACAGTGGTGTATAAAGACCTTGCATAATGAACCGTTATGTTTGTATTAGATTAGAATGAGGCGTTTCTCTCTACACACACCGCGGGTCCACTTACATCAACGTTTCTACGGTGGCCCTGAACGGACAGACGCGTTTCGTCACTATGTAGTTCTTCATGATAAGAAGCTGCTGAAGTCAGCGAATAAATCACTGACACAGTGATGAACAAGTAACAATAATATTTAACAATAACAATAGTACAGTAATATTTAACAAATAATAACAATAGTACACAATATTTAACAGTAACAATAACAATAGTGGCAATAACATATAGTTTTACTGAACAATAAAGTAAACCTAAATGACTAGTTCACCTCAAAATGAAAATTTCCTGATTCAGTGGAAAAGAAATTAAGCTTTTTGAGGAAAACATTTCAGGATTTTTCTCCACACAATGGACTTTGGGTAACCAAATAGTTGAAGTCAAACGAATCCCAGCTGAGGAACAGTGTCTTATCTAGCGACACCATCGGCTATTTTCTAAAAAATAAATTAAAATGTATATACTTTTTAACCACAATTGACGCGGCAGGCATTACGGCATCACGTTGGAAAGGTCACGCTAGATGTAGGCGGCCATTGTTTTAAATATCAGGATACGCAAACGAAAGGACCATTTTAAACAATAAACTGACACAAAGACATAAATATGTCATTCAACATACAATAAAATTTGAACGATCGTCCTTCTCCACGCTTGTAAACAATGGGGCGGTGTGGAATGTACACTCGAATTCAGAGAGGATTGTGAGTAGTGCTGGGCAGTATACCGGTTCATACCAAAAAGTTAAAACCAGTGTATAATTTTGTTATGATATAAAATTTGTATATACCGCCATACCGATGCATTTCATTCGCTGCACATACAGCAGTGCTCTGGTATTACGTTACAGGGAA